TGGTTAGCGGTGGATATTTACCGAGCCGCCTCGCGGCTCGGTAAATATCCACCACTAACCACCTCCACTTTGGTGAATAGTTGTTAACTATTCACCCCCGAGCGAGCAACTCGCACGGGATTGGCGCCCGAAAATATTGTAATCGTAGCAAGAATAGACGAGTTAAAATCATCTTTTTGAGCTATATTATCTCACTGTTTTCTTATAAACTAAAACGACTAATCACTTCAGTGTCGGTGGTTAGCGGTGGATAGTTGTTAAGTAACATCAAGGAGCATAGTTGTTAACTAACATCAAGGAACTAAGAAACTAGTACACTTACCGATTTGCTCTTTAGTTCCTCTTCGGTTCGATGGACATTTAACAATGGAAGCACCTGCACAAGATCAGTGCGATTAAAACATGTTGATCGGATTGTACAAAGCAGCACGATGGAAGGAAACATCAGACAACATTTCCCTAACCTTAGCGGCTGGTAACTTCCACACCCTGAGATAAACTGATTTGAATTCGCGAGAATTTTCTTGCAGAAAGGAAATGAAGTCACCGTGAGTCGCAAAGAAAAAGATTTTCGTACAAATTCTTCACGTTAAAAGACGCAGATTGTCCCGCTGTATAAAGGTTCACCTCAAAATATAAACAGGTTCTGTTTATATGTACAGGCTGTACATTGTACTTATTGTATGTTAAAAACCTCTCTGGCATAAAAAAACGTAAATAGAAGTCTTCAGCGGTACTCGATGTTGAAAGGAAAGCTTTGCGATTCAGACCACAATAAAAATGACGGGAGGTTAGTTACGCATTAACAACTCATTATGCCCATTATCCCATTACATCTCTTGATAGACTTTCAAAATAACTTCTCTATTACCTTTGTATATAACCTCCACCAAGGCCAGTTATTGACTGCCAAGAAAAGTCTAATATTCTTCTGAATACAACGGATAGCTGTACACTGTACCTATTGGCAAAAGAAAAAAATTGAGGTAGATTTTGGAAATCTCAAATCATAATTAGGGCTCGTTTCTCGAAAGTTCCCGTAACTTAATAGGCCCGTAAAGCTGTTCTGTTTTCATTCAAGATGTGGATTTCAAAAGTTTAGAAAATAACAAAATGAAACCATCAACTAAAGAAACAAAATGGAGTGGTTTGGGGGCCAAGAACTGCTTTCTTATCCTTTAAATTTCTATTTCAAATTATGGCTTCGGGCTCGTTAAGTTACCAGAACTTTCGAGAAACGGGCCCCTGCTGGTCATGGACCGACCAAACGTTAAAAACCTCTCTGACATAAAAAAAAAACGTAAATAGAAGTCTTCGGCGGTACTCGATGTTGAAAGGAAAGCTTTGCGATTCAGACCACAATAAAAATAACAGGAGGTTAGTTACGCATTAACAACTCTTTAAATTCAGAATTTAAGAAATTACTTCGAGTCCGCGGAGATTGTGGGACTTTTCTGACAGAAACGGATCCCAGAGCTTGGAACGGAAATACTTAAATAAAAAAAAGAAAATGTAACCCCCGCACAAACATGTAACCCTTGTCAAATATCGGAGGACACGAAATCGAAAGAAGAAATGAAGAATGGTCACTAAGTTCTTTCGGGTCGCACCTGATATATTTTAAAAGAGGGGAGCCATCAGACGAAAAACGAGAAATATCCGGTAACCGTATATGAACGATGAAGGAGTGACGTCTTCAAGGTACTTGAGACTTCAAAAGCGTCTAGTCAAAATCTGTGACCGAAAAAAAAAAAAAAAAAAAAAAAAAAAAAAAAAAAAAAAAAAAAAGAGAAAAGAAAAGAAAAGAAAAAAAACATACATACCTGTAGTTTACTAAAGTTCTTTCTCGCTAAGAATCCACGACAGAAAGCCTGCAGTTCAACTATGGTGTCGGTGGTCTTCTCGTCTCGAGCGTCTTCTAATTGAGCAAGAGTGCCGGCACGGAAGAAGATCTGGAAAACAAAATTAGAAATGAACAAAATTAAGGGTCACCATTTAAATACGATTCTGAACTACTTAAAAAAAAAAATCATTGGGTTTTATTTCCATAAAGTGACTAAATGAAATAAAAGTAAAAGGCAAAGCAGCAATTTGAAGAACCTGTCTTTTAAAAGGCTAATTCAAAATGTTGTGTCATTTTCTTGCGTTGTACGAAATTAACTTAAACCTTAAAGGAGACTCAATTCGGAGAGATGACCAATTGCAAAGGAGGCGATAATAACCCATCATCGACCAAGGATGGCTAAAGATGGAGAAGATTAAAACGGATTGCAAATAACCTGTGACTACGATGCTTTAATCTTTTACACCTTAGCTTCAATATCTATATTCTCCATACTGTTCTCTATACAATTCCTAAGGACCTTTCCACCCTAACATCAGTATGCATATTCTCCATACTGTTCTCTATACATTCTCTAAGGTGCTGACAGGGAGAATTTGTTTGACAAGCAATGGCTTCTTTGGTTGGTGATCATTTCCTTTATTCTCGTAACCTTAATGTGTAATTCAGGAGAGCTACCGTACGGAGAAATAAGAAGCTAGTCACTCTTAGGGCTCAACGGGGTTGGAGACACAGTTGGGCCCGCTAGCGCGGGAAAGCAAGAGTCCTGACGGGGCAAACCCTAGGTCAAGCGCGGAAAAACACTAAAATTTTTTTTTTACAAAGCAATCAAACGGTGCTCTAAAAGAAACCTTTGCCTCAGATTAATCTGAAATATCAGCAGCGGTGAAGTAGTTACGTAACTAGGTGGATGTTCAAATAAGGTAAGATCCGGAAAGGATATTTGTCAAAGGAACAATTTGCACCTCTTCTTGCTTCAGCGGTTTGTCAGATTTGAGCAAAACAATATCACTCCGTCCATATTTCTCTTTTTGTTTCGCTTTCTGCTACCTGTTTGATCATTTTTGCATTTCTGACAACAAAGCACTGTAAAGTATTACTAAGAGAGAGTTTTCAAGACTTGTCGCTGTATTATCTGTTCAGATTCCACAAAAATCAAACAAGTTCTTTAACTGCTATAATTTGGATATATCAACAAAGTTGAAATGGTAAATTGGCCACCGCAACGATTACAAAAGCTGACGTTTAGAGCGTTAGCCCTTCGTCGGAGCGAAACTATCAGCCTTTATTCATCTTTAACTGCTAATCTGAACTGTTTGAACTTTTGACTTACAATAACAAGTCGGTCGCGACGTTGCAACGAAGTACTCATAGTTTCGGAGGAGAACGAAATACCTTTCTTTGCCGCTAACTAATCAAAACAAGGCAACTTTCATTACTGAATTCGAAAGGGCTTTAAAGCTAAACAATCGTTTTAAAACAAAGATGTAAATGAGATAATAACCTGTAAAGGTATGCATTTTAATTTAATCTGTGTCGAGACGAGAAATTTGCGACATAACTAACTAAAATGGTCTTTCATACCAATCAGAAGCAAGGTTTAAAAAATTTATCATTTGCACACGAAGTTAACCCAGTGAAAAACTTAAAGCAAACAAAAAAAGAGTTAACTTATTAAAGTACAGAAATGTTACGAACTGATTGAATAGCAATTGACGTTCTGTCAAGAGATAACAGTTAGCCTTAGTGGCTGACCTCTTAACTCGGTCGTGTACTGAAAGCCAAGTTCCTCAAACAAGGAAAAGACTGATAACGTGAATTATAGATGTTCTATCGATCTATACATTTAAAGATGTTTCGTGCATCGTTCTCTCAAATTTTAAGACAGAAATGAAATTATCATTTGATCCCTTTGAGGCAAAATTATCACGAAACACATCTTCAAAGAGTACAGCGGCCAAAAGCGAAGAAAGCCTGAAGATTGGACAAAGTCGCTCGCTTTGTTTGAAGTTGACGCAAAAGGACCAAATATCAAAGCCGAGATAAACAAAAACTTAAGTAAATGGTGCTCAAAATTGCAATCAAGCAACTTAATTCTGTCTACAAATTGAGTAAGACGCAAACAATTTAAAACGACCACACACACACCTTTGGTTCGGACCCTGACTTAGTTGCCAAACGTTCAGAACACTTGTTGAAATCACCACGGGGTCAAAAACGGTAAAAAAAAATTGTCGGGCACAACACGATCGTTGACACGCGTTTAATTTGACCTCGCAGTCGGCAAGAGCTCCAAAACTCAAAGAAATACAAGCTTAATCATATCTAAACTTGACGTATTGTAAGCCAGAAAAGGATCACACAAAGACAGGATTAGTGTCAGGAAATAGAACAAAACTCTCTAGGATGTCATCCTGTCAATACAATACCATGGACTGGAGAGCAGTGCGACCACGCCCCTATAAGCTTTAGGGTACTAATATCAATGTGTAACGACTTTGACGATCCCAGTATGGCGCCTCTGAACAAATTTTGAAATTTGTTCTGGTTCTCTACAAACACTTTGAAAAACGTTGAAATTTAGAGATCATTGCCATTTTGCTTCAATCTAACGCTAGCATTATTCGGGTGATGGTGGAGGGGGGAGAGAGAAAGGTTTAAGGTAGAGATAGTAAGAGGTGTGAAGAAAGGGGAAACAGGAGACGTAGGGGGAGAGGTGTGGGGAGTGAAGCCAGAAGAGAGAAGGGAGGCTAAGTCAGGTAATGACTCGCGCATTTCTGATGGGTAGGGAGGGTGCCTTGGGAGTTGTTTTTTTCGGTACAATGATCAGCTTAAGTCATATTAAGTCATCATTTTCTGTTTCTGTCCTTGTCTTTACAAATTCAACCCCTCTTCAGTTTCGCAAAGTTTTTTTTCTTGTTTTTGTGTGTCTTGTTATTCTTTTTTCGTTAAGTCCAGTAAACCTTTCGCATAAAAAGGATGGTGGAAGGGGGAGAGAGAAAGGTTTAAGGTAGAGATAGTAAGAGGGGTGAAGAAAGGGGAAACAGGAGACGTAGGGGGAGAGGTGTGGGGAGTGAAGACAGAAGAGAGAAGGGAGGCTAAGAAGTTTATGAGGGGGACTATGAGGGAGAAGGGTGTAAGGTATGTGCTGTACAGGTCCTAATAGACGTACCTTGCTGTTTTATCGACTTTCTCCTCAACTACAGAACGGTGTGCCTTTAATCTTACCTGACTTAGTCCCAGCCTATAGCTTCTTTTATCCAGTTCTAGGTGATCCAGCAGTGTTTCTACGGCCTGAAAAACAAAGCGGGTCAGATCATCACTGGCAGTCATGCTGATACACTGGCATTCGCAGTAGGCATCGCTAACAACACAATAGCAAGCAGCAATTAAACAGCGCACTGCGTGAAGAACTGACTTAAAACTACGTGAGACCACTGCAATTATTTCATACTTTCTAGTTCACCGAATACCCCCTCTTCTTTCGCGTCTTCACAAACAAGACTTGTTATCGGAAACACTCAAGAATGACATGATTTTACTCTATGATCAAAGACTCGTTCTTTTTTGTCTGCCATTTTGCCACGCTACGGCGGTCATGAACAAATGCATTAAAGTAACAATAGCCACAGATATCGTCTAAAAAATGACCACTCATAACAAAAGAAACTAGGTTTCAATATTTGAATAAATAACTTAGAGTAAATGAGCGTAAAATAATATGTTGCCTCTCGACAACTTTAATGCACTTTGAGTTCTGGCCCTCTCCCAACGGAAATTATGTTCATATGGGTAGGAAAGACTATGCCTCGAACACAGAACAACGTAAAAGTTCACCTACCTTTTTTTCATCCAAAACGGGTCCTGTATTTCTATGCTGACTTGCAGCAAGGATGTCAAAACGGCGCCTAAACTCTCCAAATGGCATATGCTCTGGAAAACCTGAGGAGCAAAAACATTTACAGTCATATTAGGAAACAAACACTACTGAATTAGCAAGTTGCGATCCTGTACATGACATAAACTGCGGCAAGCCGCAATTAGCCACTGGCTTGAAGCAACTTTTAGAAGGCCAAGTGTTAAAATTCCTGACTATGTACCGTATTCGAACTTCAAAACGCTGGATTTGATTACAACAGCTTCCTTAAAAATCACATCAGTTTTGGAGGGCATCGTGAATTGAAAGATGCACAAAAACTGCGTCGTTTCGAGTCGGAGAGAAGGAATACAATATCTCTAGACACAACGGTTAGGCATCCTGCCGGCTTTTGCAAATGTGCCTTGCTACTGCAGGTCTGCGGTTTCCGTCACAAGTGAATAGCTACGAATATTCAATTAGGGTGCAATAACCTTGAAATTACCGAAAATAGTCAAAACAACTTTTAAATCCATTCGCTTTCCACCAATAATTGCACTGAAATGTCTCTTGTGAGAGCCATGTCTAAACCATAGATCTCTCGAGTCCTGACTACGCTCTACGTAGTACAGCTTTCAACACAACTGTGCGGAAACATCTTACATATAATACCACCTCCACGAAATAAGAAGGAACTGAGAATGAACAAACTAAGGCCTCGATTTTCTTTTCTTCATTCCTTTTGGTTACGTTACGTTTTGAAAAACTAAATCTGAAGCAATGAGTAGTCCAGAAAGAAAGACTGCATTTTCGTTTGTTTGATTATCGAAATTTGCATCTTAAATGACCTTTAATTATATTTAGTTATGTGCATTGTTTGAGACCGTGTTCCGTTTTGCGCTAACACAAGAAATTTTCGAAATTAGGTCTCAAGAGTATTGATAAAGGATTGCGAAACCTCTTTAAAATCACGCAGCGGAGTCAAAGTGACTTTGTTTCCCAAGCAACTCTCCCTATCGTGCCACACACACCTACCGCCATGTTTGTTGTATGAATTTAGTGTTATCTCAACACCGTCACGTTAAAAACGATAAATTAGTACACATGGAGAAATCACATAATAGTCACTTTAAGAACAATTCAAAGTATCGCTGAAATAATTTTTTTTGAACAGCTCAATGGTAGATGTACTTACGAAGATTTAGAAGAGCCTCGAAGCGACTTGCATGACAGTGGTCACTTCCTGTGATGAATTAATGATTGTTTTTTCGCTGGGTAGATTTTGTACAGAGTATTAAACTAAGTTGCTCACCCATTTAGCGTGCGCTAAGATAAAAGAGGCGAATTTACCGAGTATTCAATCTGTGCAACACCGTCAAACGACCATGCTTCTTCAGTGTGGTCTGTCATGCCATGCCTTCCGCTCTACGTGAAAGATTTATCCGCTCGACAAGTAGGTGCTTGAGTGGTTATGGCGTAGACGACTATTTTAAGAACGATTTACATGTAAACGGAAATGGTTTTGCTAACTGCTACTCTTCCCACGCTAAAGCCAACGCTTACCACTCGAGGTTTGGGTAAACGTGTGTGCACATCGTTTGAACTAGCCGGAAAGTCAATAACACCTGCGAAACCCTGAAAAGGCTAGGGTTTTCTTTTTCACCAGCTATTATATAAAAGTTCTTTATCAGAACCAAGAACTCATTCCTATGATAAAAAAAAAAAGTTAAAAAAAAAAAAAAAAAAAACCATATCGGCAACTAAAAAACTTTTTCAAAAATCGCTCTTAGAAAGATTTGGTGGTTAGAAATAAACTGAATGACCAAATTTTCAATTGGTAGACCGGAAAACTTCTGTATAGAACTTTTAGAGCTTTCGATTACGTGTCCTAAAATCAAAAACAAAGTAATGACAATGTCAGCCAATCAGAGGATAGTGAAATATCATTAGGAACCGATGAGAACTCAAATTAGAGATAAGCATACTGCCTGAAGCGCGGGAAAACGCGGGAAAGCACGAGGGACCAAGTCGGTTTCACAGCTGTTTTGCATTTGATTGGTTCAGAGAGATTGGTGCGAGTTTCCTCAACCAATCACAGAGTGTTGTGAGGGAGAACCAATGAAATCCCAGAATACTTTTGACACTCAAATAGAGGACTGCTCTAAAGTTGTGCTGCCCGTCTATTAAACTATGTTCCGCGAAAAGCGAAATTTTCGACGGCTCTAGATGGAGCGAAGATCATTATGATCATAATTTAACACTAGCCTCCTACGAAACACTGCTGTATGAATTTCCACAAGAGACAAAGACAGCAGAAATACCAGTTCTTTCAGAGACTCGAGTACGACCGAAAACTTCTCGTACGGAAACCTCATCGTTAGTTCCAGTGCGAGTTCACGCGACTTAATCAAAGTTCTCTTGCAACAGTTCCTGTTAACAAAACCTGCTGAAACTCTAAGTTAAACTGCTGATATTTGTATATTTTTTTTTGTTTTTTTTTGTTTTGTTTTTTTTTGCAGAATACCAAACAATAAAATTGCTTTAAAAAAACACAGTTAATGGTGGAAGTGCAATTAGCCGGTCCATCCAGATCTCCGAAATAATCAACCAATAATTTTCATTAAACATGAACTGACCACAAAACCCGAGCGGCCTAAAGCGAACTGGTTCCTAGACAATGTGAAAATGCACTTTACACGAAATAAAGCAGTAAACCATGTTTCTTCGCAAAAAAGACGGTTAAGGAATGTCATTCACGGTAACAAAACTATGCTTACTTTCCGAGCACGTCTGACCTCACTACTTGGATTTGTCACTGCGTGGCTAACCGAGGCGACCAGAACAGGAGCCTTACGAAACAGATTTAGAATCTGATGCCACAGTCGACCCACCTTGTCTGTGTATCCTGACAGCATCTAACATTTCCGCCGACCTGAGCTGGTTTCTGACCAGCGGTACATACAGTGAGGAAGTTTCTTTGTTATTGCTACTCACGGCCTCTCCATCAACACTGTCAGTCTGGCCTGCGATTTCCACTGGAAGAATGCAACGTACAAAATTGACTTTGGTCTTTCGTATGGCGTCTAGGAGGGTGTCCTGAGAACAAAAAATAAACAGATTACAGAAAGCTGAATTTTCTATCGGGCGTCCAAACCAACCCATGATAGAATTCATTGAGCATCAGCCTAGAGATGTCGCACCACCTCCTAAAACAATAGGCAAAGGCAAACACAAACGCAAAAAATAAATCCAATCGCAACTTAGTCCCTCACGTTTTCTGTGCTTGAAGCCGGTTGAAGGTGTTCATTCTGAGCTCTAATTGTCTTTTTATGGTATTTCTGCTTTTCTGATTGGTGTTCGTTATTACTACATTGGCTTTGGTGTTAAAAGTAAATTGAAAAACACTCCACCACGATCCTCCGGTTCAAAAAGATAACAAACAGCTTACAATCAGGCCCTCGTTCTTAGCGCTTCGGGACGAGCGTTTCTTTGCCCGCGGAAAAGTATGAGGCCTTGTGCAGCGCGAGCCGGCGAGAGGTCTGCAAGGGGTCTGGTACTGATAATTAGTGACAGTCTCCCTGCCAACCTCTACCAGACTTGTCTTCAATCTTCCAGCGGGCGGAGAAACGCGCGTCCTGCAGCACTAATTGAGGACCTGGTACTAAGTGAAGGGACTTGACTAAAATGAGTGTCAAATTAATTATAAATTAATCAGAGCGGATAGCGTTATTTCGAGTCTTAATAAAGCACTCATTCATTTCCTATTGGGAAAGAGTTCACAATGTCGTATTTCCACAAAAGCACCTACCACTTGGTAAATGAGCTGCAAACAGTGCGAGTTCTTTTTAATCGCTGTTGGTGTGTTCAGCGTCTTCTTCAGGCTCCGGGATCGAGTCACTCCCTCTGCAGCAGAACGGTGTCGCGAGAACATCTCATTCAAGTAGGATCTACAAGTAAAATAACACAGCTGCAAATCAGCTCTGTGGGTAAACATATTGTGCAGGCCCTTACACCTACTGCGAGTGAGTTATGTTACAGGTCGTAAAACGTTCTCCACGATTGGATAAAATTAATTGTCAGTAATTTCCTTGTTAGAAGATTTTATTCTCAAAGAAGGGTGCCAAAATAGTACTGAGAATTTAAGTTAACAGACAACACATCATCGCAGAAATGACTGTTTGAGATGGTCTTTTTGGCAGACGATTGCATTGCTTGGCAAACCAGTCACACGGTTGCCTCTACGAGCTGTAACAGTACCGTGCGAATTTCCTTTATGGTTTTCTTATAAGCTCCAAGCATTACTTCAGGACGTATAGGTTTGCTTACACGCGGAGATTCAGAAGAACTTTGTGTTGGGAACTTTGTGTTGAAAGGGGTACTCAGTTGCTAGAGTCGGAAGGGGGGGGGGAACGGAGGGAGTAAAATGGCAAGCAAGCGGACGCGGAGGTCGCTGTTGTCAGGGAAACGACAATGTCTCGTTTTGCATTTTTCTTTGCATTTCCGCATATTTCGTGAAATAATTCTTTTGCGCACCTACATTTCCTTTTTCTCCCCTGACTCAGAGTAATAACTGGCGACCATGTGTTAAACTTACTTTGAGGACTCGGCCAGGATTGGATGGGCCTGCTTGACGGCAGCATGTTCCCTGGCGACTTTCAGCCAACCCCGAGCATTGTAGAGTACAGGTAAGTTACCCTGGCAGTGGTTGATGTAGAATGTGTCCTTGAGAGATCCCTGTTTGACCCACGTGTCTTCTAAAGAAAATGAGAACCACCTGTTAGAGCCCAGGCAATGGCTCAGAACTGATGAAAGGTCAAAGGAAAATTAACTTACTGTCATTGCAATGATGCACATAGAGCCGCGCCAAAAAACTGCTGTCATTTGCTCCCGGGAAGATTGATTCTTCGTCTAAGATCCACAACAAGCCCTTCTGTTCACTTTTCAGGTCCAAGGTAGAGCCTCGAGTCTTAAGAACAGGAGCAAAAAAGAACGAGAACGCGTTACACTATTAACTATTAACCCGGTCAATGAACGTATAGATGTTTACTAGGCAATTTAAGCAAACCACGACGGCTACGGCAACGAGAACGTGGAAAAACAACTCT